ACAAATCGGCCCATTTCGAGGAAATGAGGTGAAGACATGTCAGAAGAGAAGCAGCTTTCGGCGCTGAACACTTGTCTATGTACTAGGTGCAACGTTTGTATGTGCATATGCATGTGTGGGAACCAGCATAAAAGCTGATATCTGGCATACTAAAAGTTAGTAAAGCGAGGTGGAGCCACAATTAAAATACATATGTATATCCGTCAGATAGACAATATCAGCTGATATGCTGACGTCATATGAATACAAGTATGTCTGTAAATATATAGAACGATGGAATAAAGTAAACAGACACCCCATATTTCCGTTAGTTTGAAAGGGTTCTTTACACAAACAGTTGATAAAACCCGAGAACAGAGTGGACAAAGTCAGCATACAGGGCAAAAATTACTATAGTGTAAAGAGCTAATTTAATTGTAGATATTCCTTCTTTCAAGTACGGTCCACCGTTGGCCCCCCCCCCCCCCTTCTTTTAATAAATAACCACTTCGCTTCAGTATTCAAAGTCAGAAAAACTTCACAAAATACATAAGTATGTTATTAAATATTCGTATAAAATAAGCAAGCCTCCAATCCAAAACTTTTGTTGGCTATTTTGGACGACTTTAATCTTCTGCTTTTTCCGATCTAGATCATTTTACTATTATATTTCAACGGTTTAGGTGAAGCCACTTTATCACTTCAGCATTCAGTTTCAAAAATCAAATCATATTTCCACATGAAAATAGTTCACATCTATACATACATACGCACACACATGTACTCAGATCTGTACAGTTAACATAGATGAAAGTAAGGACTCTATAAATTGAACATAAGCAATTGTGAAAGACTATCTTACTTAAAACTCAAACTCAGGAAGATTTGGGATAGTTAACAACAATGGTTCATTATCACATACATACTATTCAAAGTACGAGGATGTCTTTAGTTTGGCCCTAAAAATTTATTATTATTAAACGGATTTTTAATATTAACATAAATAATTAGGATATTTTCGAAAGATGAGTTACATAACCGAGTATTGACTGTATGTTGTTGTTATCATTCAATTTGAATCTCTGAGCGGAGAGGTCAAGCTTGAAATAATAGCTGAGACCATTTGAATTGTAAACGTATATGTAAATATCTATGTACATGTGTACATATGAAATAGCGAGTTGCCACATAATGGCTCTTGCCTCCCTTGCAGAATCAGGTGTCTGCATAATAATGTATATGTTTATGTACATATGTATGTAGTATATAGATTTGTAGTTCACTGTCAAACGAACTTTCGTAGCATGCACAGTATGCTTACATATAATATATACCTACATACATACGAAGGCATGTATAACAAACAAACATCTCTCCGAAATTTGATTTAATGGGTCAACATAATAGCAGTTGTTTCATTAATTTTAGTTAACTTATACTTTAGAATGTATATAAGTACATATATGTATAGGATTGTAAAAACATGATTTGTAAATATTTTCCGAAATATTGCGATCGTTAACTAAATTACTTGTAATGATGCAAGTACTCGTATGTGCCTAACCCGCTGTGAAATAAACTAGTTCTGATATCTTTACAACTAGTATGAACCGCAAGGTAAACAGCGGGCAGGCTCTTTCGACACTAGGCACCGATAGTTTTCGATCGAAAGTTCTAGTAGCAAACTAGTATTGTGCAATGTACATCAACGGTATACGGTATGTAGAGCCTGTCGGTTAACTCATATGTTAATTGGCAGAGAGCGCTACCAGAGATTTCTACTACGCTTCTATGAGTGAAGACCGAATTGACAAAAGTACACAAAACTGTCCTACGCATAGGGCAAAGGGCCTGCAAACTGTGTATGTGTTAGTTTCTATGCTAGTGCTTTCAATGGATATAAGTTTCGGGTAGTTGTGACTTGCTGCGGAGTAACTGGGAAAGTAGAAGTATAAAAACAAGTTGCACGGACAGATGAACGAACTGACGTCATAGAGAAATACATTTACTCTTATTAATGTACATTTTTACATAATCCAAAAGTATAATGCTATCGAGTGTGATTAAAAATATTTTTATGCGTTTACATACTCCATTGTCCGTATGTAAAAGATCAAAAGTCATTTTATGGTATTTTATACATTTGACATCCATAAACACTATTTTTATTAATTTGAAGCTATGAGCTTGGTATTTACAATTCAATATTTTTAGACTATACTATGTTATATTTGCCGGAAAAATTAAAAACAAAGTCGAGAAGAACAAAAGCGTCCAATCCACCCTTCAAATATTGTCGAAATGTAGTTGTGGATCGCATTTGCACAGCAGCGTACCTTTCATACGTACATATGTACATACTATCTCCCCCATTGTACAATAAAGCGTTTAATCCCAAACTTGCAATAGAAAGTAGATGAGGGCGCAGATGTGCACACTGCACCCTGTGGTTGGTCAAACTGTTCCAATGTCAGCACCTGGTTATAACAAGTGCTTTCTACTGTTTAGATTTGGAACAGATATCCCCAGCTACACTAGTTAAACACTCTTTTCTATATGCTTCCCTTTTAAAATCTTGTTCTTTTTATTGTATTTATTGGAAATTAGTTATGTAATTCTCGGCCTTTCTTATAACAGAGTGTTTTAAACCGTTTTAAAAGAACTAAAGATTCACTGGCAAAAACTCTCTTTTCTCATTTCCCAGTGGTACCACGTTGTTCTTTTGAAAGAACATCATTTTGTGCACAGAACACCCAACTGGACCGTTATACACTGATAAAAGAGTTAATAGGGGACCGGTTCTTTTATTGTGTTGTTAAAATATCTACCAATGGGAGCATTTACTCAATACTTTATAGAACGCGATTTCGTTTTATATAGCTTACATTAAGCGATAGTGGGCGCTTACACAAATAGATACATACATATGTATGTATGTGTGAAAATTCATATATTTCTTTCTTAATACGAGTTGTCTCTTCTCCATACTCTGTATTGACGACAGGCACCCTCTCAGCAATGAACACATTTCGGTTTAGACACGCGTCGTCCGAAAGAACTGATTATACCCATATACATATGTATGGTATGTATGCATGTTCGTTGTAATTTATTAAACTAACCACACTTCTGCAAAGAAATCAGAAAATTTTGGTTGTTGTCTACACAAAACTACAAAGATCAAACTTCACAATACTTGTTGTGGGGGAGGAAGTAAGAAGGGCAAGCCAATGCCCCTAAGAAGGAAATTTCCATTTTAAACGCTCATGATGCTTAATATTAAAAGTGTGTCTCTCTTAAATTCTTCTTTTTTGATCCAGTAATGCAGATACACTCATATTTAATAAATTCAATTATAAAATGGTTAAAATAGTGTTTTGTTTTCTAAAGTTGAACCCATAAAATTTCTAACATTTCTAAGTTGAAATGGTACATTTAGCCAGTCTCCGAGAATGCAATGACTTCGAACACATGCCATTAGGTAGTTTTTGCGACAGGTAAACTCGTCGTAAATGAACACTATTTTAGTATTTTTCAGCAAGTTTTAGTTTCATTGCACAGCTAAATCTCGAAAAATAGTTACTTCTCGTAATAATCACGTGTAAAAAATAACTATTCAATACCCTCAATAAATATCTCCATTTCTAATTTTAACAGTTTGAGTAAAATGAACCAATTGTGAAAATATGGCGTAGTAAAGACTAAAAGTGGCGAGCTGGAAGACAACGATCTCAATAATAGAAATGCTTATGATGAAGTAGTCAAATTCTTAACATTCGTTTGAAATTAGACAAACAGACACATAAAATGTCGAACGGTCTGGACAGTGAAAATATCTGATTATTATTTCCGCTTATTTCTTTAAATGGCGTATTTCCATAGATTCAGACAAGGTTTCCCTGGTGAAGCATACTCACCCAGACAATTAAGTTGCCACCACTGGCGAATAACTAAAATATACCGTCCACCGAATTTGGCATTTTCCCTTAAATGTTTACATTAAAATGGGGGCTCCAACCCAATAGCAATTTCTTTTATATTATTTTTGAATTCATCGCTTACACAATATGCATATGTAGTTCACGCAGTAGTTCCTCTTAATATAAGACATACAGAGCTTAAACCGTTTCTTACGCAGCAGTATTATTTGTCGGACAACCTTAATGCGCACACCACAGATTAAGTTCGACCAAGCATCTAAAATAGACGTAAACTAACAAGCTACAGGTTCGTTAATTTTTGTATTTTTTAACAGACATCGAAATTTAATAGCAGACGAGTGATGGAGCGATAGTAAGAGACGATTTTTGGCCGAATGGTTCGTAGCTTTGAGCTACGAGACATATCCATAACGGTGACTTTTCATGTACATCATTTCTAGTTATCTGAAAAGCATTTAATACCTGCGAACATATTCCTATTTACTGAAAAATAGTACCAAGATAGAATCATGAATTACACTATGCATTTACTATTGAAACTACCTTGTCTATAGTATGTGTTAGATACGCCCGAATATACAAATTTAATAATTTGTGTTATGCTTTCATTTGGATTACATCCATACATACATATTTAACTACAACAAACTTTAAAACATATGTACATATATACCTAAAAACCTTTCACTCATTGGTCTGCTGTTTTTCAAGCGATGTTAAACTTCTTTGGGTTGTGTTACGGCTTTCCCACTTTCGGTGATCGTAAATACGGGTTACATGTTTTTAATTTGGCCGTCTTTACGCGGTTATGTTTGACTGAAGTATAGCAGACCACAAAAACCTCAAATTCATTCGAGCACTCTAATGCATTTCTTTTATGCCTTGGGCATCCACAAGGCATCTAAACTCGAATGCACACTTTGTGAAACAGCAACTATGGAGGTTTATCATTTATGGAGGGTCGTAACAGATCGTATATTCGCTGAATGCTACAGTATGCCCTTTATTAAAGAAACCGGCCAAACTGCTATAACCACATAAATAATCAGAATAATATTTACAATTCTATTTTCTTTCTAGTCAATATTAACGATCAGTTCAGAATTGTAGTGTCGTGCTAGCGACGGAAACGGAATTTCAGCAGCGGCAACCGAAACGGAGCCAAATAAAAAGGTAAATAATCTTTGAATTTAGTCTTAATATAAATTTTAAAAAATCAAAAAATAATTTTAGTGTGTTTTGTCACCTACAGATTAATTGTTACATAACCTGGCTTCAAATGTTGACATAGTTAAGAAAATCCAATGCCGCGTTTTAACTCAAAAGACGAAAACCGTATTCCAATATCCACTAAAATTACCTCCTTAACCTTTGGAAATCTAATTGATTTTGGAGACTCCCTCTGGAAAAATGTCAGAAATTGCTAGAAATAATGCCAGTACCGAATCACTTTGCACCGTAATAGAAAATTTTAGAGAAAATATTAACACTAGCTCCAATCACAACTTGAGTAGTACCGACAGCAAAAGTTCTAATTATGAAAACAACATAGCTGAAGATGTTATTCACAGACATAATATTGTTAACTTAACCGACAATTCCGAACCAAAAAACACATACAAAAACGATGATGACGAATGCGCGTCTTTATATGATAACTGTGATATCTCACAAGATGAGTCGATTTCATCAATATCGGTTTCTGTTAAGTCGAGCACTAAGCTAAAGAAATCGGTGTCTTTTGATCCCCAAGACGAAAAGGTCCGCAAATTCATAGAAGGTGAACCAATTGTGGATCAAAAAAATCCTTTTAAACAACATTATTCCACTTGGGGAAACTCGGCTAAAAAGAAGAAAATACCGCCCCCTGTTCCAGCTAAACGATCGACGTTGAGTGTCCGGAAAACTGTTACGCAACAACTACGAGAAAGAGAACGTGAAAAGGAAAAGGAAAAAGAACGACTTAAAAACGAAACAAATAACCGAAAGTCAAGTTCGGGTATTATTGCATCCTTACCATCACCTGACGATTTCGTTACTACTGAAGAAGTTCTCAAACAATCTAAATATGTTAAAACATATGTGAAAAATCCCGATCCATATTTTGTTTACGACCCTTCCATACTTGCACGACTTAAATGTGAAGAAACCCGTGATGTTAGTGACAAAAAACCTTCAAAAAAACTTCGCTTAACAAATCAAAATAAAGATCGTATTAAGGATTTAAAAAGTAGACCTTCAATAGAAACATCGTTTTCACACTCGAAGATTCCCTTTAAGAAATGTTCAAAACCAAATTATCCTGATCTATCTGACATCAAGATCAAAGTTGGTACCGATTTGGATGGAAATTTTTTTAATCCAGCCGAAGTGTCCAAGAATGCCAAAAAGTTCGACGATAGGGTGAAAAAACTTCAAATAAGTTCAGAAGACGATCTAGATGAAATAGATGGTCCCTTAACAAAAAGCGAATCGAGTGATGAGGTGACCCCAAACTCAGTTCACGTGAAGAAAATAAACACAGCGTCCGAACAACCCAAAAACGTCAACGTTGAGAATATGGATGACAAAGAAATATTTGAAGAGGCGGCTGAAGGCACATTTACCAACACAATAAAATCTAAAGAGTTTCATGATTATCTTGAAAAAAAAGGCCTTACTTTGATACCCAAAAAAATTCCGAATGGCGCACAATCTGTGTATACAACTGGCAGGCAGATATTTAGATCTGATACTCGTATCTCTTTTAAAAGCCCCGAGAGCGTACAGATCTCAGTAGATACCACGGACTCTGTGCGTAATTCTAAAAAGCCCTCAGTATTTCAACGTCTTCTTTCAAATAGTATTTTTGCTACTAGACGTAAAACAACTCCCAAAGATATCGTTCCTACGCCGAAATCACTGAACAATTATAAAATGCATTTCAAAGAAAATATAGATAACCCGCAATCTTCGCTTAAGCGAGTGGTTTTAGAAAGACAAAGTTTTCACGGACGTCCCCATGCAAATAATAATTTATTAAGTCCTGCCGAAACGGAGTTCCTGAAACACCAACAGCAACATTCCCGCAAAAGCTTTGCAAGTGGTGAAAACTTATCTGATGCCCTATCTAGTGCTTTACCAAATGACGAGCTGCTCCACAACTCAACAGCGGAAGAAGATGTGGACACCCCGTTCATAAAACCATCAAGACGCCCACATTCCAGAGAGAGATTGGTGATCTCTCAACAAAATAAACCCTCTCAAAATAACACGATATTAAAACCAAGGGCGCATCGACTTTACGCCATAAATAACACAACGAATCTAACGACGGAAGGACTTGAAAATGCGTCAAATGGTACACTAAAACGAAGCGTTGAGCGACAAAGTCTCATACCCAAACGATCTAATCAAACTTTGAATCGCAAGCAAATGTTTAGTCGTTCTAGTTCAATAGATCGTAATGAGATATTGAAAAAGAGACTTCTACGAGAGCTTCAAAACAAATCAAAAAGTGATAATGAAGCTTCTAAGGTTTCTACACCTTTCACTTCTAAAGAAAACATTGGAGAACAATTTTCTACCATGAATGGACCCAAATCCACTTCAACTCCAATCCGAAATGTAAATAATGATGCCGAACACCACAGTTTAGAACATAGTGTAAGCCTGGCAAATAAAGTTTACGTCGACCAACAAGAGTGGGCGCGGTTAAAAGCAATTAAAGATCGTATGGACAATGAGCTATACCTGAAAATGTTACAAGAACAAAAAATACAGCAAGATGCTGAAAATATATATGAACGTCTCCAGCCACAAAAAATATCGGTAACGCAACCTAATAGTTTATCCAAACCGCCCATAACATTAGAACCCAACTTTATTCGGGGATCTCCACAAAGGAACACATTCTCAGGCTTGACTAAAAATCGTCAAGCTAAGATTATTGATGGTAGAGCATTAATTCCATCATCATTTCCTGAAACTATGCAGTCCATTAGTAACATTAAAGAAAGTGTTTTCGAATCTACCCCTCGCAGTCAAAGCGTCTTGGACAATATGACTTATACTTCTAGAAACGGTAACATTAACAGAAAAGGCCACGGAATTGACATGGGTACACCAGTTGTCCTACGACGAAAAGATAACAAAATATCCGAACCGGTGAGTAATCCAGAACAGCGTCGTATCGGTGGTATACTAACCAGAGATGAGATATTGCAAAAAGTGAAAGATTTTTGTAAAAAATCCCTAAATAAAACCTCAATTATTCAACAATCACAAACTAGAGCAATTCATAATAAACAAACTGGTCCATCTGATTTGTCTCCAGTATCATATGCATCCGTCGAAACGAACCAGAGACCTGCTTCCCGAATGTATGCAGCTCCTCAAGTTCCTCAACGTATGCAGAGCTTGCCTCAACAATTCATACCAATAAAAACGGCGCAAATGATAAACGAAATAAATCCGAATACAGCATCACCAATCTATGCACATGTGGTAAAAAGGAGTAGCTTACTATCAAACAATTCGGAAATTTACGATAGTCCTCAAAAAATTAACTTCATCCGACGAGATCTAGAAACTCCTGCAATATATGTAGAGCATTCAAATTTGCCTACTCCACAATATGTACTTGTTGAGGGCGATAAAATCGTACCTGCGAAACAAGTATTCAGCTATTATCCCGGACAGAATGATATTTACGCCCAACCACATTACGTCCGGCCGTACAATTTGCAAACTGTTCCGGGCGCTTATGGTTACATAAGTGTTAGGGAACCTCTTTTGAATCAGCAATTACATCATAGGTTGTATAATGGGCGAAGTACTCCATTGATACTTGATCAATCAAGTCAACAGGCGAGTCAAATATATTGGACGCCACATAGTCAGCGGTTACAGCAGCATTCTGGACTACAGCCAGTGAACATTAGTAGTCCCTGTTATATGCTCAAGCAACTAAATTCACCGTCCACAACTAGAATGGAGCTCCCGAATAGCACTAATATAAAAACAATTCCGAACACTACAGACCTCCAAATTCAACATGCAGCAACAATTGGAAGTAGAACACCAAACAATCGACAGACACAAACCAAACCATCATCTAAGCAATTAGAAGCTTTAAACAACCAACATTCCTACGATTGGGAGAGTGGCTCCGAAGCTGGCGAAGTACGACGTATTTTAGAGAATACGGGAAACAACGGTGAGTCCAGAGGAAGTCATTTAATAAGAAATCTCAAAAATAAGCTATCTCGACTATTTTCATGAAATAACATCTATGTAATACATACAAAAGTATTATATATCTATATGTATGTACATACTAGATCTATTCATCAATGCATACTTCTACATTTAGTGATAGCTAACTTAAGCAAAATTCCATCAAAAGAAGATTTTCGCATGTACAATATAATCATTAGTATTTAGTTAATTTCATAATAGTATTTATTCACCTACGCCATGAAAAAAATGTGCTTGAAATTTACAAAAACTGTCTTTGCTTCGCAAAAACTTGGAGAGTGGTGAATCGAACAAACAACCTGCCTAACTCAAATAAAGATAGAATAAAATTCAAACAAAGGTATACACATTTCTCTTGCATTAAACTCAGCTGTATAAATTTGTTGCAGGTTTTACAAGGAAATAATAGACAACAATAACTTGAAACTAATAGAAGAAGCATACATATGTATTAGTTGGGTCTACCAGATTTAGGGCCGTGCGCTCAATGTTTGGTTAGCAACCATCTGCAGTTAATATTTAAATTTAGATGGAAAGCAAATAATTGTTATAACGCCAGTAAAAGAACAATCCTTCACTAATATTAAAAAAATCCTAATTGGTGCAACCATAGCATTTGTATTATGTCAAATTACACAGTACGATATTATTAATATCAATGTTTATGGTATGCAATCAACATTGGTTTTTTGTAATTTATCAAATTGAATTTCAAAACAAGAATTGTTATAATAACTGAATAATATAAGTACATACATAAATACATTCATATGTAGTTAATTTTTTAGTGATTATTACTAATTCAAATTAATGAACTTGCTTTGGCCATACACTCAAACTGGGCAATTATTAAAGTTTTGAAATAAATAATTTTCAATATTTTTCGTTCTCCTTTCATTGTTCATTTGAATAACTAAGCCTACACGGATTGCCAACGACAATAGCAATAAATCTGGCAATGCTACGGCAATATTTTGTCCTGTCGAGATGCCCCGTAACGTACTCTCTGTTTGTGACTTTTTATCAGTTAATTTTTTTTAATTATGTGGCAACTTGAAGCAAAGCCAAACAGCTGTTCACAAAATTGTAACAATTTAATTTGTTTGGGTAACTCGTGAAAATTTCGCCGCAATTGACAGCAATAAAAAGTACTGGAATTCACAATTTTTCATATCGTATATAAATGAAATGATATGAAAGTAAGTACAACATAACAATAAAACTTCATATTTTCTTGTTTAGCTTATAACCTTAATATTCATCTTGTTAGTAAGAGTGTACATATTCACGTAAAATACTGTGGCAACTTTTTACTACTATTTGTTTGCCTACTGTAAGATTATTGCGTATTAATCGTTCTGCTTTTTTGTATTTGGAAAGATTTTTTCTTGCATTCTACATTAGTATCGTAGGGTTTGAATCTAATTGTTTATATTTTTGTGTTGTGTTAATTTTTAGGGTCAATGTTTTGAAAATATATCAAGGTGATTTTATTTATGCCAAGATTTAGTTTCGTCTAATAAACAAAGTGTGCATACTTTAGTAAGTGCATACAAGAGTGATGGAAAACTAGTCTATCATTCTGGAAGTACATATCAGATAATGTCAAAGATGTTTTAACATACATATATCCTGTACCTAATTATAGTAACGGATTTTTGGATGCAAAAAAAGTCTTAGATTTATGGATGGCGGTTGTGGTATGTACTAGGAACTGAGTTCAAGTCCTTTTATTCAACTTATAAGCAGATGCAATGAATACAAAAGTGTTTAATTTATTAATATTTTTTTTATTTAATTAATGCTTACAGTTTAAAGTTATAAAGCTTAAAACTCTTGGCTGCAACCAGAAAACTGGGGCAGACAACATTTCTACTTGCTCTTATATTAGCTATGTGTATATACAGTTCTTATATATTAAATATACGTTTTAAATATTGTTAAAGGTTAAGAAACCAAACTAACTCCTTTAAAACTACATTGCATTCATATTCGTTTGAGCTATTTGGGGAGGCTTTATTTTTCTATCAAAATTTGCGTGTTTGATAACATTTTTTTATTATTTTAAGCAAAGTAAAACATTTTTTTTTATCGATTCCGAATGTGTAAGTACTAAAGTATTGATTGGGTTAAATTTCGCCATGACTGCATAATTATGTTTTAATTCTGATTTCGTTTTCAACAGTTTTGTTGTTTTATGTGATTTTGTATACTTAATTTCGTTAGTTTTATTTTATTTTAACAGTATAAAATATTCGCGTTGTCATTAAAAGAAGTAATTAAACTCGCATCGACTTCACTTTTCAATAATTCCTTATTAATTTTTGGTAATATGTCGTGTTTCCTTCACGTCCCGTATAAGTGATTCATAAATTAAAAAAATGTCCAATATCTAGGCCCATGAAAAGTATATGGATGTATATAGATATGTTAACGTTCCCTGCAAAAATTATTTGTATTCGAAAATAGCAAACACCACTTGTACACATTGCTATTTACTGCAATTTACTATTTGTATGGGTTTCGTTTGTGTGCATACGCAAACTGTGTTGAATATTTCTTGTAATTTTTCCTTCACAAAGAGACAAAGGAGAGTTTTGTTGCATTTTATTTCGAATTGTAGACCACCCCATTTTTCAATAGTTTGAAATTTAATTATTACAGGGATGAGGTGGTAGTAGAAATCAGTATCTCTCTTGTAAGCTTCCATATAAATTTATATCCGTATATGACAAATAAAATAAGAAAAAGTTTTGGTTATAAATAACTAATAATTTATTTTTTTCTAGACTAAAAACATCAAAACTTAAATAGGTAGACCATGGACCATTTAAAAAAGGCCTCGTTAAATTCTCTCACTGATGACGAATCAATAACAACTAGTACTGAGTCCGATTCAGTAGAGACTTGGACATTAGTGAATGATAAAAATAAAAGGAAAGAAAAAGATTCTTCGTCTGAAATTCTTGCAGATACAAATAATAAAATTGATATACTAAAAAAATGTAATGATTCTCCAACGTCTGAAAACAAGGAAATCCATGGAAATATTGAGTTCGTATTTATAAGTTCTTGGAAATAATTGTATTTTTGTTTTAAATAAAATTTAATTACAGCTACCGATCTGATGACGACTCCAATGTTGATGATATTTCCGAAGGTATCTCAATCATCAGCGAAAGCGAGAGCGCTGGCCGAGCTTCACCACTTGAAATTGAAGCTAATTTAACCAGTGTAAATTTGAATGACTATCAGGAAAATATTTCCCCTAACTCAAGGCTTCGGTTGCCTATACATATTCCACAATCGTCTTATTTACTATCCTCCACAGGGAACAGCGCAGAAGAAAGTTCACTTAAACAGCGACGTATACGTCATACAAGTTCAAGTGAAATTCAAGAAGCAAAAGAATTGAATAAAAATGTCGGCAGTAGTCTTGTAGACAGATCCGTTCATCCACTTGTGCGGCGTAGTTTAAAGGGGGCATTCTTTATTTGTGTTGGTTTTGCAATATTGGCTTTTATAGGAAAATTATGCAATCCTGATTGGCAGCCATGGCATGTTAGTAAAAATTTGTCTGTATTAGAAGAAAAATTAACAAACTTGGAATTAAAAAATAATTTAATGCGAGCGGAAATCGACATTTTATCAAAACAGGTTAACTATTTGAGTAATTTGTGGGAAAGGGGAAAAAATATAAGAAACGATTTCGAAAAGGTACAGAAATCTCAGCACCGACATTACAAACAGGCTGACGAATTGCCAATGAAACAAAAGAGTAAAAGTTTTAAAGCATGGTCGGGAAACGGAGATAATATCGATTCTATACAGATAACAAAGAACGATCTAAAAAAGACATATAAATGTGCTGATGGAGATGGAAATTTTAGAGAAATTGCTGGGATGTGTGTAGAAAGGACGGAGTCGAATATAAAAAACATAGACGATATTATCCAAAAAGTCGACGATGTTGTGGTAGAGCAAATTCTTGAGGGCATAGAATTATTAAAAGAAGTTTCAGGAACAGATGAAACTATTAATATTGATGAACCAATTTCTAAGGTTGACCCAAGTGAAAATTATATGTATAAACAAAGTCGCAACTCAAATAAAAGAGAGCAGTACACTTCCGAAAATAAATATGATGCAAAAACACATTGGAAGCAACACCGACGTTTATATACTGAAGAAGATGATGATATCGATGCCTACGGGGAAGGGTCCGGACGGAAGAAAACTAATTCGAAAGAGAGATTTGGCAAGCGCTATAAAGAGCGTTCTGAAGAACATATGTCCAAGAGCCGTTTTCATAAGGATCGCAATTTTGATAAGACATCGGCTGAGCGAACGTCTACAAGTGGCGAATGGCATGGAAAATTAATGAAACAACGAGAAGCCGCAAGAAATGAAAATGAAATTCGCCAACGCAGAAAGAACTGGTACATCGAACGCGGTAACGAACGAGAGAAAATGCGCCACAGTTAATATTAGTAGAGACCCGATTTTATTTTTACTTAATGCTTTAGAATGATAACCAGTTAATTATTAATTTACGATTTTCTTTTGTTTTAAATATATTATCTTTTCCTATTTAGAGCATCGAAGGATTCCATGCTCTAACAATAATTTTGTGATAAATTGTATTATGTTAATTTTACCTTGTAGTACACTATATACGCTATATTGTTTTTACCCTAAGCACAATACAAATGAGAAAGGATATAAGATAAATACATCAATAATTATAGAAAATAAAAGGACTATTTCCCTGCTAAACGTGTTTCACAAAAAAATATTTACTATATATATGTACATATGTCAAACAATGTCTTGTAACTTTAATGTAATTATTTCAAAAATCCTTGTATAAAAATAAAATATGTAATCGTAAAAACGTAGTTCAATTTCATCATCTTTTATGAAACTTAAATTAAATTTCTATTATACGTCGGATCCATACTGAGCAACATTGAAATTTTTGGATTTCGAAAGAGATGTCAAGAATTCATTTACATATTTTTATTCTATTATAAAAAAAAATTTTTACATAGAAATATAACACCCTCATTGCTTTAAGTTTATTCTAACAACTATTTAATATAGTTCGACAACATTTGATTTACACACTTTATGATCAACAATTAGCTCAGGCTCAGAGTCATGTGTATGTCGGTGTGACATCAACGATGAACGTCGCTTGAAACGTTTGTTGCAAATCTCGCATTGAAAAGGTCTTTCTCCACTGTGTACTAGAGAATGCCTCTTCATCTGCTCAGTCGTTGGGAAACCTCGTTTGCAATGGGGGCATTCATACGGTCTCTCTCCAGAGTGGCAACGTTTATGAGCAATCAAGTTGCTCGAATACCGAAATTCGCGACCACAGACATCGCACGTGTGCGGTTTCTCACCTGTATGTACAAGCATGTGCTTCTTATAGCCAGACTTTTGTGTCATGGACTTCCCACAAATATCGCACTGGAACGGCCTCTCGCCGGTATGTGACAACATGTGGGTTCTTAAAGAGGATGATTGACGATATGCTTTACCACATAGCTCACATGTATTCGGGTTATTTGGATCATGGATAATTATATGTCCTTCATAAGCATTACGAGTTTTAAAACCTTCGCCACAAAGGCTGCATAAATAAGGTGTAGCATCGGAATGCAATTGCATATGGTACTTAAAAGAATTTTGATTACTCAGTTGTTTTCCACACACCTAAAATATATATGGTATAAATATTGAAAAGCGACTACGTACAAATATGTGCCAATGTTTCCTACTTACCTTGCATTGCAAATCAGGGTTGGGCGGTTTAGGTTGGTTGCTTTTTTTGCGGATTTTGGTTGGGGGTTTAATTTTCTGTTCTAGGCTAATATTCCATTCTTCATCCGGATCAGCAGATTTAATTTCTCTTTTAAATTTTTTTTGTATTTGATGACCTTCCGCAATTTCCAACAAAGAACAGTCACTTTGAGAAATTTCATCTAATTTCACTTCGTATATCTCTTCATACTCCTTGTTCCTACCGTCTTCTTCAGCATCTGTCTGGTATACTTCTTCTGACTCTGCTACTTCATGAACGACCACTTCATCCTCCTCACAATTTTGCTCACTATGTTCTATATTACATTGCATTTGTTCCATGGATATTGTTGCATCATCTCCATCTACAACGCCGTCTAATACAGTTAGAGACACATACTCCATACTTTCTACAGATCTTTTGAATTGTGCTGCTGTCGCCAAATCATGCAATTGATCAGATTCGTCCAAATCAGTCCCTTCTTCTACCTCGAGATGGTGCTCTTCTACAATTGAGTCCGCTGATTCTGTGTCAATATCTTCAATAACACTGTCACCACCTCCAGCATCTGTCAATCCCATCCCACAGTCCAGTTCTGCAAACTGTCTTCGCAATACTTCATCGGTTTCCAATATCATTTTCTTAAAAGCATATGTCTTAGCAACATTTTGGACACAACGTAAACAGATATTTGAAGGAAAACTTTCGATATCATCATTTGAAAAATCCAAATTTGTAATAAAACTCAGCATGGACGCCAAAGTTTGCACCTCACCCATACAAATACCTTGCTTGTGCAACGACTTGTATTCTACGCACTCGCTTATGCAGGCTCGACAAACCACCACTTCCTCATCATTGCTTTCAGAAACCATTCTTTATTTACCGTATTTGTAAACTGATTAATTTTAATAAACAGATTATAAATTAATGTAAACAAATCAAGACGAATTCCCTCAAATAATGCAAAATCGCTCCATCCACGCTTTGACATCTGAGGTGCGTTCAATCCTCTTCTCTTGGGTATGTTCAATTTTTTAAATACTCGAATATAACGTCAATGCTTATCAATTATTCCCGGCAATATTGTAGTCCGGCAACATTGATTGAATTGACTTATGACAGATGTCGGAAAATTCCTTTCAGCTGCATTAGATTCAATGAGATTGAAGGTTACTATAACCGGTGTAATGAATTAAAAGTACACTTAAAGTGTGATTTATTAATAAAACGTTTAAGTGTAGGGGCATAATATGGTAATGGCACGAAAAGGAGTCCTTAGCGTGATACAAAAGTTAGGATCCGGGACCAAATTAGCGTGGCATGGATTTGGAGAACAAAAATGTCGAGCATTAAGTAACCATCATCGAAGACTACACATTTCCACAGCTATCCAAGTTTTTGGACGAAAGTCGGACTGCCAACACATTGGAAGATTATATACAACAGAAAACACAAGTTTGTTTCTTTCTCAAAACTTACATATTATCATATTTTATTAATTTATTTGATTTATATGTTATGGTGTAGAAAAGGCATCGAGTCCAAAAATTTTGTCAAAGTTGTTCCCTCAAACTGCAGCCAATGTTGATGAAGATACTGAACGCGAAAGAAAACGAAAAGATGAAGAAGAAGCAAAGGAAAATGAAAAGGCTTGGAAACATATGAAAATAGGGTATGGACTGCTTACCCTTGCGTAATATAACGCATGACATTACAAGTAGTAGCGACTATAAACTTATCTGATTTATAAAACCATGCATTTTATAGGTTTGCAGTATTTGGAAGTAGTGGCACTGCACTAGCCATATGGGCTGTGTATGAGTTTGGCAAACCCGAGGTAGATGCCGAAGGACAAGTAATTGAAGATGAATTCAGCAAAAGTCCAGTAATTCAACAGTATATACAGCGTATGTGGAAATCTATGAATTATTACCAAAAAATGATTCAGGAGCCTTCACGCGATAAGCTTTTACCAGATCCTTTAAAACACCCATACATACAGCCGCCGTACACATTAGTACTAGAAATGAAAGACGTTCTTGTACATCCAGATTGGACATATCAAACTGGATGGCGGTTTAAAAAACGGCCCGGTGTTGATCATTTCTTACAAGAATGTGCAAAGAATTTCGAAATTGTCGTATTTACTGCAGAACAAGGCATGACGGTATTTCCGATTTTAGATGCTCTGGACCCAAATGGCTATATTATGTATCGCTTGGTACGCGATGCAACTCATTTTGTGGATGGACATCACGTTAAAAATTTAGACAATTTAAACCGAGATCTTAGTAAGGTAACTTAATAGATGTTCATACAATTACCAACAGTCTGTCTATGTATTTCGATAAAAACATATTGATTGGTAAATTTATTTTTTAGGTCATTGTCGTGGATTGGGATGAAAATGCAACTAAATTGCACCCTGATAATACTTTTAACATTGCCAGATGGCTAGGCAACGATGACGACACGCAACTACTTGATTTGATATCCTTTCTAAAGAGTATGTCAAATTTATTATATCACATTCTTATTAATTCTAACATTGGCATGTGATTTTTAGCTCTGGCATCTGCTGAAGTTGAGGATGTTCGTGATGTTTTACATTACTATCGGCAGTTCGATGATCCAATAGCTCAATTCAGAGAAAATCAACGGCTTTTACTAGAGCAAATGCAAGAGAAAGAACGGCAAGAGCTAACCAAATCTAAACCAATTGTGAAAAAATGGACTACAAGCTTCCTAGGACGCTCATCTTAAGCGGAAACGCCTAATAAATTCTTATAATTATCATTGTTTTGCATAGCTTTTATTCATTAAAATGAAAAGTTTTATTCATTTAAAGGTGGTCCGTTTCCTTTAGACTGCGGTAGAAAATGTATATGTACATATTTCACGGATTTTTTTCTTTTCTATATTTAGTCCAACAAAATTATCTATTATCTTTCGATACAATTATTTCCATATATTTTTTTTATAAAAAGCGGCTTTTAGGACTGCTACCATTTTATTATACAATATTGTATAATAATGTACATGATAAATGTGAGTTCAATTAAATTTTTTTCTTTTTCTTAGTAAGGGATGAAAATCCAATATACAATTTTGAGTACTATTAAAAATATATCAATGCAGTTTTTATTCTTCAAGTGAAATTTTAGAAGAGAATAAAGGGTATTTGTAAAGTGGCACGCAATTCGTCAATATGTACATCATGAATGTAGAAGAAGCTCGGTAAACAAGTTGCCACAGCTTAATCATTATACAATTAAAAACTGTAAAAGAATAAATTTGAAGATTGAATCGAAATGAAATAAGAAACTTGTTTTTACCTGCCCTTCTATTTCACAGTGAGACTGGAGATGAATGTACTTCATCGCATATATGCATTTGTTCGCATACATCGCAATGAGTAATTAATTTATTTTCATCTTCTTCGACGATTTGCATTACATACTACAATTAATTATATATTGATGTTTAAACATACATACATGAGGATACGATTTTACCATAACCCCTACAGCAATTAAACTAACACAAAATTTTATAATATACATACATATTTTATAAATCTTGAAATTACCTAATATTAATCAGTGACACATTTCAAAGCGTAATGGAAACACAATTTCATTATAATCAAGCTTTCAGCATACTTAACATATTTCAGACATGAACGCAAAATTTAATAAATTAGTAACCAAAAATAATACATACATATGGTTTAATGGATGAGTTAAGTGAATATTTTCGTATAAATTTTGTATTTTTCTAATTGTACGTTTTGTTTACTGACATTCAAATATGATTATAGGATATTATATCATTATAAATTTTTATTATTGTTGCATATTTATTAGGCTCTTTGGAGATATTTGGAGGACGGTTTAACGTTGGCAATTACAACAACAACCTCATTCACTTCTATCAACTGTCTCCATCCCATTAGTAGTTTTATAGTTTCCCCATTTCGTTGTACTTTACAACATCACCAAATTGTCATCTTAAGTCTTTTATTGAGACCGGTGATAAATATACAAATTTCTAAAGCAAACGCTTTGCCAGATGTTCCAGAGCTCT